GACGGCGGCGGCGACGCGGCGCCCGCGGCGGCGCCCGCGGCGGCGGCGGCGCCCGCGCCCGCGGCGGCGCCCGCGGCGCGCGGGCGCGCGGGCAAGGCGCTCGCGACGCCCGCGGTGCGGCGCATCGCCCGGGAGGCGGGCATCGACGTCGCGTCCATCGCCGGGACGGGCCCCGGGGGCCGCGTGCTCAAGGGCGACGCGCTCGCGGCGGCCGCGCGGACCGGCGGCGGCGCGTTCGTCCCGACGAACGTCGGGACGGCCGCGCCGGCCGCGCCGCCGGCGGCGCCGGCGCCGCCGGCGGCGGCGCCGGGGGCCGGCGCGGCGCCGATCCGGGGCGTCCGGCGGCTCATGTTCGACTCCATGGCCGCGTCGCTCGCGGTGCCGCACTTCGTCTACGCCGACGAGTTCGACGTCGGCGCGCTCGAGGCGGCGCGCCGGGCGCTGGGCTACTCCGCGCTGCCCTTCTGGACCAAGGCCTGCAGCGTCGCGCTGCACCGCTTCCCGGAGGTCAACGCGTCGATCGTCGAGGACGCGGGCGGGCGGCCCGCGCTCGAGGTGCACGAGAGCCACGACGTCGGCCTCGCCATGGACACGCCCCAGGGCCTCGTCGTGCCCGTCGTCCGCGACGTCGGGAACAAGTCCATCGGCGACGTCGCCGCCGAGCTCGCGCGGCTCCGCGACGCCGCCCGCGCCGGCGGCCTCGCGCCCGGCGACGTCGCGCGGCCGACGTTCACGCTCTCGAACATCGGCGCCATCGGCGGCACCTACATGAGCCCCGTCGTGGCGCCGCCCCAGGTCGCCATCGGCGCCATCGGCGCCGCGCGGCGCGTGCCCCGCTTCGCGGGCGACTCGGACGCCGTCGTCGCCGCGACGGTCGCGAACGTCTCCTGGGCCGCGGACCACCGCGTCGTCGACGGCGCGACCATGGCCGGCTTCTCCAACGCCGTCAAGGAGCTCCTCGAGGACCCGACGGCCTTCCTCAAGCACCTCAAGTAGGCCCCCCGACCGCGTAAGCGCCCGACTCGGAGCCGCCGCGCGGGCCCGCGCCGCCGCGCGCGCGCGGGGCCCTCCATCCCGCGGCCGGATGTCCCGGCGACCCGGTCACACCTGGCCTGGAGTCGCTTACTGCTAGCCCGGGCCTAGCCGAGACCCACGGGGGAACCGGACTCTCGCTGGGAGGAGCGCCTAGGCGCGTCGCGTCCGGGGTGAGGAACCCCAAAGAGCGCGCTGGTCCAGCGCTCTCGCTGCCTCGTGGCTGAGTGACGCCGGGGAAGCCTCCGGACCTGCCGCGTCCCCCCGCTCGGTCGACCGAACGGGGTTTCGCCTGGGCCGAGCGAGCGCGGCACGACGCGAGACTCTCGAGACGCGAGCTCGCGCGGCCGCGTCGCGGGACGAAGCGGAAGGCCACGACGGCGACGCCATCCTCCACCTGACGACTGCTGCGGGTTTCGAGCTGCGCGAATAGCCACCTCTGCGAGAGCTGCTCAGTGGTCGCCGGCCGCTGGTCCAGCCAGGGCAAGCGCGCGCACGGCCGCGGCGGCGGCGGCCTCGGCGTCGCGGTCGGCGGGCCGCGGTCGGCCGCGCGCCGGGCCGCGCGGGCGCGGCGGCATATGGACCGCGTCTGCGCGCTCACGGGCGCCCGCGGGTCGCCGCGGCGGCCGCTGCGGCGCTGCGGCCGGTGCCGCCTCACGTTCTACGGCGACGCGGCGGCGCAGCGCGCGCACTGGCCGCTCCACGGCCCCACCTGCGCCTTCGTCGACGCCGCGGCGCGGTCGGCCGTCGCGGCCGCGTCCGCCGACGCCGCGGCGGCCGCGCTCGCGCGCGACGTCGCGGGCGGCGGGTCGCCGACGACGTCGCTGACGCTCGCGCGGCTCCGCGCGCTCGCGGACGCCGGCGCGCTGCCGCCGCCCGCGGCGGCGCGCGCGGCCGCGGCGGCCGAGGCGCTCGGCGCCGCGGGCGACGGCGCCGTCGCGCGGTTCTGGGCCGCGCCGGGCGTCGCGGCGCTCCTGCTCGGCGGCGACGACCTCCTCACG